GGGGGGTGAGGAAGGGCGAGGGGCTTAGGTAGCAGTTGTTTTATTGTACAAAAGTCTGTCCGGTACTCCCTGTTGTCCCCTCTCTCCAGTAGCCCTCAGTTTAGTGCTCACTGGTGAGAGGGGGAGGGAGGAAGGTGCAGCGAGACCTTCGAGAGGGAGGAGGGGGGGAGGAGGGGTAGTGTAGTGGGACGGCCGAGAAGGAAGAGGAGGGGGGAAGGGTAACGTGACAATTGAAGGGAGGGTTGAAAGCTGGCTGAGGCGGGATGAGGGGAGGGAAATGCAGTGACAAAGGGGTAAGTGGAGGTAAAAAATTCCCCCCTCCCCATTCCTACCTAGAAGGCCGTCCTGAATCTGCCTATGACCAGTATTTCGTTGATCTCCACATGTGCTACCACTCGGGCTATTTCTGAATGTTTCCGCCTCTCACAGGGAGAGAATAAATATTTTTTTATCTATGACAAATATTCCTTTAGACACCTTTCCCATTTTATTATCCTTTTCCTCCTTTTCACTGTTTTCTTCTTCTCCTGATATTTTTTTTTCAACCTTTAATAATAAAGCGAGAATTTTATCTCGACTCTCAACACATATAAGCAGATTGTAGCAACCAGGTTGATGACCCCTTAGATAATTTGAAAGGGAATGGAAATACTTGAAGAAGAACGTACTGTTCAGTGCCTCGCCACGATGGATAACATCCTCGATATTGGAGACCATAATGCGTGTCACATCGTGAAGTTCGTTGCTCACTGCCGAAATCGCATGACGACTCCTATCCGTATACTTTCGTTTTGCTTGCTGTATGTATTGATCTACAAAAAAATTTTTTACATTAACTATCAACATGGATTTTTGAATATCATTTGAAATAGCAACGCGCACCAGAATAGCCGGTGCGATCATGCGTTTTGTGCAATTCAGTCCACCGAACGATTCTGTATTAATGATTTTCACTGCTTTGTACTTTAGTCTATGCAAGAAAAGTTCAAACATTGGAAAATAGAAATTTCACGCACCAGCGCATGAAAGCTGAATTCGAAACCTTGAA